TATTGAGCTTGTTTTATATCATAGCGATGATGTAGTGATTGATTCAAACAGACAAAAGAATGCGAGCAGTGCCTCTGAATGCTTATGCGAGCATATTGTTGCTACAGGCGAGAGTGAATGTTTGACAGAACCTTTGCAGAGGCTTGCAAAGGAAAAATGTTCTGTGCCAGGTGTGGTTATGCATGGTGCCTTTTTTTCTTTCTCTCTCTTTTTTAAATTCTTACAATTCCATGTATTTATCTAATTTATTACTCCACTTTATTTAGTTCTTATTTTTTACTTATTTTTTTCCTATTTATTTATTTTCAATTTAATTAAATTTATTTTTAATTATTATTATTGTATTTTTTTTTTGTACATGTATTTATTTTTATTTTTTCTCTTATAATTTTTTGCCCTTCTCAGTTTGGATTACTAAGTAGAGTAACCAAGAAGAGAAGCAGTGTAACCATAATGTTATGCCTGTCTGTCTGTTTTTCTCTACTTCCTTATTTGGACAAAAGATTGTTGAACCTAAAGCTGCTTTTTGAGAAGTTCATTGTGAAGGGCAGTCTCTGCTGCCCAAACAAACCTTTTCGGTTCCACTTGTGCTCCCTGACACGTTGCCGTTCTTTCTGAATCATGTTACCTTCATGCAATCAACCTCAGCAGCTTATGGGAAATGAGGCAATGAAAGGGGCGAGAATGAGGAAATCACAGCAGTTGAGTTGGTTTGGACTGTGTGTGGTATTTAGAGCTTGCTACAGTAGTGCCCTGTGCGAGGCCTTCTGTCGTTCTGGAGGAAGTGTGAGATGTAGCATCATGACCATATCTCCCGTATAAGGTAGCCACAGTCCTCCGTATGTCTTTTGTTAATAAAATATCGGATCGGCGCATCCCTACTATGTAGGGATGTAACGATTAACCGCGAGCCGGTTGAAAATCGATTCAAATATGTGACGATTCAAATCGGTTGAGATGCTAAACAAATCGCGATTCAGTTAGGGGTAGGAGTTTATATGAATGAATCGCACGAGCACATGATTTGTTCGCAATATTTTTTTATTTTTATATATATATATATATATATATATATACACCTTTAATTTAAAAAGACTAAAACAAAAGATGGATTCATTGTTATTCTTAATCAAAAAGCACAACAACAATAAAACCGTACTAGACAATGACAGTCTAGCTTACAAAACGTTTATTAACAAAAACAAATAAGATGAGGCATGGCACACACCACATGCTGTATTATATACCGACTAATAAATTACAGAACATTTAGCAAACACTGAGGAATCAAATAAATAAATAAAAGAGAGCCTCCATAGCTTAAGGTAGCTAAACCGCAACTATAGAAACCCTAAAGGGAATAAATAGCCTATGAGATGGGAGGATAAAAAAAATATTTCAATACTTTTTCTCGCAATTATATCGTTGGGTAAGTATAGGCGACTGTATATAAATTGCGGGCATCAGGGAGCCGCTATTGAAACCGCTTTCGATTGCGCGCTCATTTTACTTTCACTTTCACTTTTGAGATTCGCAATCACAAGGACTCTATACTATGGAACGGCAGTACTTACCACACATTTGACAAGATTAGATGTTTGTCATTGGTGCTCAGGATCTGCAAATCATTCGCCATCATCCTATCAGACATTTCTCCTTACTCTGTGTATGTGGTAAGTGAACTTTCATGTACTGTAATGCAACAGGCTAACGTTAGCAAGCAGCTAAACTTTTAGTGGCTCCGTATAACGCGTTATTTGTTTCACGCTTCGGGCACACCCCTAACCCCGCCCCCCGATGTCATCGTACATCACAATGTTTCACTGTAGACATCGTCCGATGCCAATTTGGTAGACATCGCCCAACCCTAGTGATAAGCTTCATCTGATTACAGTCAACAACTAATGCAACTAAGTCCCTATTTTTTGTCATAATTCATTACAGTCGGATATACATCATAATATGTCTGTATGTTCTTTAGACAGAATGTGTTCTTGCGTTGTCTGCACAATTGTTTAATGGCTGGTTTATAAAGACGATGAAAGTCACAATGCGTCTTTTTTCTCTCTAGTCATTCTTAGCCTGTGTTTAGGGCTGCACGATTAATCGAAATTAAATCGCAAAGGCGATAAATCGCGATTAGGCAGAAGCTGCGATTGTCATGCGTATCTTTCAGTGAAGCACAGTTCTGTGATCAGCAGTAAATCTCCATCCGAAGGCCAGAGGGCGCTCTTGCACTGAAACTCCAAATATGCCCCGAAGAAGAAATCCAGGAAATGCCTATCGCTGCAGCTGAATAAACTGAGGATTTAACTGCTTCATTGATTCAACGTGACTAATAAACACACGACTACGACAATATATGGTTTATCTGAGTTCTCCTTATTATAATTTTTATTATAATAATGTATATAATAATGCAATGCTAATCGACAGCCTTTATCACTGCTTAGAATACTATGAAATATGTTGCGTGCCTTATTCTGTGTAAGAAGCCACATCATCTCACAGAAAGATTTATTTCAAACACTCGGCTGACGTTATGAAGTGAGTTTGGAGTAAAAACATGTTATTAAATGTGGTATTTTCACGTGCTTTCAGATGGAACAGCATTTACTACACAGAGCCGTAGTTCACTGACAAGCTATGCAAACCGCTTTCATAATCGCAGAACGATTTCATAATCGCAATTATATCGTCTGCGATTATGAACACGATTTTGCGTAGCTTGTCAGTGAACTATGGCTCTGTGTAGTAAATGCTGCTCCATCTGAAAGCATGTGATGAAGATTTACTACTAATCACAGAACCGGTTTTACTGACAAGATACGCATGACAATCACATTCGATTAATCGTGCAGCCCTATCTGTGTTAATGCTGTGTTAAAAGTTTTGACATGCAGCACAGCAGATTATTGTCAGTTTTAGTAACAGTGGTCCTATCAGATGAAGGGATAAGATTATTTACATATTGACAGACGTGTATTAGAAATGGTGAATGGTGGTTAAAATGTCTAGAAATGTCTTCTGTACCGTGGGCTATCGAAAAGATCCTGGTGTTAGGTGAGTGGTGTTGAGAGACAGAATTTGTAGCATGTGATTGGTGTAAAACCTTTTGTGCTTTACACTGTATTATCAGGAAACAAAGGTCACATTTCTCCCTTAGTCAATCAGTCACACCCACCAACAGGAACTGCTTCCTGACCTCATTCCCCCATGATGTTCCACAGGCCTCAGGGGACCCCGTCCTCTACCGTTCACTATTGACTGCTAATATAAAAAATATAATGGGAAAAAATATATTAACAATCAAGATAAAACGGAAGTCTGTTGTTTTCACCAGGAGGTCCAGTTATGACATTTTGATTAAAGGTTATGAAGTCAAAATATTTGTAAAAATTGAAACCTATAAATACAGAAAACAAATAAATGAAATAATACTGTGATCAATTTATCCATGCATGTTATTTTAGAATCATTGAGATACTATTATATATAAAATTATTTTATAGTTTTTATTTTTAATTTCAGTTTTAGTTACTTTAGTAATTCAATTTAAACTAAATGAAAATGAGTAACTAGCTGAAATTATTATTCCCCCCCCCCCCCCCA